GACAGATAGACAGATCGACAGATAGACAGATAGACAGGTAGGTAGGTAGGTAGGTAGGTAGGTAGGTAGGTAGGTAGGTAGGTAGGTAGGTAGGTAGGTCGGTCGGTCGGTCGGTCGGTAGGTAGGTAGGTAGGCAGGTAGGTAGACAGGCAGACAGGCATGCAGGCAGGGGCAGGCAGGCAGAGGCAGGCATGCCGGCAGGCAGGCCCGAAGACAGGCAGGTATCCCTCTGTCTCGCTGCCCATCGACCGACCGATCGACCGGTCAATCGTTCTTCGATCAGCTATCGATCTATCTATGCCATGCGAGTTGCCTTGCTTGTCTTATCTATATTAACTATCTATCTAATCTATCTACCCTATCCATCCTATCTATCCTATCAATCCTACCTGTCCTCTCGTATCTATCTTCTCTACACATCTTTTCTATACATCTATCTATCTATCTAACTACCTACCTATCGATCTACCCGTCTATCCACCCACCTACCCACTCAACCTGTCCAGCTCCTGTCCAGCTATCTACCTACCGTTACCTGCCTTTTTATCTAGGCCAAAACATATGAAGATGCACGAACATTCACACGCGCATGCGCATATTCAAGCATTGAAATTCATATGGTGCATCAATAGCAGACTCATGTGATGTGCCTGAGTGGATACAGGTATAGATATCGATTCGGATCTGGGCATAGGTATAGACAGAGATAGAGACAGAGACAGAGATAGAGATAGAAATACTGATGGAGATAGAAATGGAGATGGAGATAGAGATCGAGATAGAGACCGAGATGGAGATGGAGATAGGATGGAGATGGAGATAGGATGGAGAGATGGAGACAGAGAAAGAGATCGGGCGAGAGCTAGAGCGAGAGCTAGGATCGAGATGAAGATGGAGATAGTGACAGATACAGACACAGATATCGAAATAGATATAGGCATAGAGATAGATATCTTAGATATAGGTTCGGATAGAGATACAGCACAGGTATACACACAAACCTCAACAATCCATACAAAGCCAAAAACAGAGCGCAGAGGGACGTCGGGATCGGCCTCGTGGTCTGCTCCCTCGTTGCCAACCTCCTCCTGCTGCGTGAAGTTCAGGAAGTGGGCTGGCCTGCACATGGGTAGTTCTCTAGAAATAGTGTCTCTTTTCGGGTCTCCTTTTCAGAAAGGTGCCGTACGGTTTTGGGGGACCTAAAAAGGAACCGAAATATAGAGAACTAGCCACATCGGCTTCCCTTTACAATCAGCAGTTCCTTTTGGGGGGAGGGTGTCCTTATGATCGAGATCCTGCTTTTGTATTCCCTCTGAAGCCCGGGCGGAGCCCGAAAATGCAAAGAGCCGCCTGTGGCACTCATGGTAGTACTCACGCGGGTTCTCGACCTCGGGAGGTGAGCTCAGGTCTTTGCGCTGCTTGCCCCTGCGGCTTTCCAGGCGCTCTCGGCCCCGAACGCAGAGACTGTACTTCATCGTCGGATTGTGCTTCTGGCCCATGAAGTTGTAGTTCCAAAGGGCGTTGTCTGGCCTGAGCAGCAGCCAGGCCGCTAAACTCGGATGCAAACTTCCCGCAGACTCGCGCGCAGAATCATAAAGACTCAACATCCAAGCTTTCGCCAGGGTACACCATGAAGAAGCCCAGGAAGATGTCACCTTTAAAGGCCGTTCGCAGCGCAAGGCTTCAGGGTCTTCCCAGGATGTTGCAAGGTCACGGCTCCGATCTGAACCCGAGCCCCTAAAACATCCAAGAACCCACAAATCGCCCTGAAACTAGGGCTTAGGGTTTAGGGATTTAGAGGTTTA